AACCGTATTTACATTGAACCTTATGGGAAAATTTGATTCGGTTCGCGACCAATTTGGTTCGTGACCAGAGTCACGGAACGAATTAAGTTCGTGAACCAAGGTACCACTGTATAAGGCAGGATTTTGGTGCGTTGCAGTAGGTTGATTTTTTTTTCTGTACACATGTCTTCTAACTTGTCTGCAGTGAAACACCTATCTAACCATGTTGTGTTTTATAAACCTTCTGATGTGAGGAACTTTCTGAATATGAGATTGAGTGTCTGGAGAATTGAGATTTATAGCCATGTCTTGTGTAAAACCTGACACTTACAAGTCTCCATGAATTTGTATAAATGTAAAATCTGTGCCAAAATCCTACATTATGGCAACTAGATTTATGAATTGTGTAAACTGTTTAGAGTTTCTAAAGTTAATTGCAGTAAAAAAATTATTAACAGTCAATGATCGTGATAAAACAGAATCATAAAGTGATCATACCAATTATTTCCCATTAACAATCATAAAGTGATCATACCCATTATTTCCCTATAACAATATAGCCTTATATGGAGTGGTTGAAGCTTCCAAAGGATTTGTTTTGGAACAAATCACAACAGATCACAGCCACATGTATATAACACATTGCAGCAGTCCAAATGGGAGACAGCCAAAGGATGAGTAATTGTTGGAAGACTATCTGTCCAGTAAATTCATATTTATTAGATCAGTCTAAGCTATAAAAGATACTTTGAGCCAGGTGTGATCCTAGGATAGTCTCAGACAATATTCCTGATTCTGAGAGTAGGGCCAATGGTAGAGTTGGCAACGTGGGTGCCTTTCAAATATTTTGAATTTCAACTTCCATAAGCCCCAGCCAGTTGTCAGAACATTGGAGGAGTACATGCGAAAGGTATCAGCCCACATATTTTGATTTAGGTGGAAATGAAGCCTTTTCTAAAATTGGCTGAAAGTCACTTGCTTAGACCAATGAATTCTCTACACTATTTATATTCGGTCTGCATTTAGCATCCCCATTATTGCCATCTTTTCTTTATTTGGTGTCAGTCTCCCTTGTTTTTTGTTCCTTTTTTATTATGATGTTATAAATCTTAGTACATTGCATTGTTTCCATACATTGATGTTTGTATAATAGTCTGGTTTCTCTTTAGACCGTATACATTTTTTATCTTGTTTCTGTTACCCTGCCCTTGTACTGGTTCAGTCTATAAATTGCCTCAACTATCTAGAGCATGTTGGCTGGGGAATTTTGGGAGTTGAAGTCCACGCATCTTAAAGTTGCTGAAGTTAGGGAATACTGATCTAGAGGGAAGAGGTGAATGCATGTTAGTGATACTTCAGTCAACATCCCTAAGATGAACAGGAATGTTGAAGAGCGTGAAGCATATGGTATCCTGTAGCATGCCAGAGGGGGAAATGATAATTCCAAAGCAACATTTTCTGGAACTGTCCAAATCTGTAGGAGTGAGATTTCTGCACTGTAGCATGCGCTTAGAAGTATATTGTGGTCAGTTATATTGAAAACTGCTGAGGTGTTCGAAAGAACCAGTAGACTCATTCCTGCCTTTCCTGTCATAAGATTTCCTATTAAGAAAATATAGTAATAATGTCCTACTGTAGTAGAGGATGAAGGCATTCAGATTTCATATCAATTTGATTGGATCTAGGACTTTTTTTTTACAATTTTGTGTTTATTATCCTGAATTTAAGAGGAATAAAGTGAAATCCTCTTCTGGTTCAATTCTTACGAACTATTCATATGAATATTAGTCCATTTATTATGAAAAGGAAATTAGCTTTAGAATCTTTGTCCTAATAAAAAACAATGGATAATAAACAAATAATACAATTTAAAAAAAAATCTCTACTTACTAAATTCTTCTCCATTAATCCAGTGTGTATTTTGGTTCTGGATGTATCTAGTGGGGGTGGGGGATTTGATATTGCAAGAGGTCATGTTATTTGCTTTCTCAAAAGAGTACAATTAAAATATTTGCAAACCGGAACTGTGCTGTCTTTTCATATTACTCATTTATTAAACTACTAATATACAGCTTTTCATTTAACAACCATTCATAGCCGTTGAAAGGTAGATAGAAACTGTTTAGTTAAACAGATACCTGAATTCCTGGCTTAAGTTTTAGATACATTGTCTTTAGTTGTATACGTATTGTCTTTCAGTCAGCATGTTTCTGTTCTAGTTTTATCTTACCTCTCTGATTATCTAAGTCCTTTGAATGAATGAACATCTGAAAAAACTTATGTGAATCTGGTATTTTCCTTCGATCATCCTCAGAGCTCTGTTGGCAGGAGGTGGTTTTTCTACATGGACCTATCGGCAAGGATATGATGTCAGTATTCCAGTTTACAGTCCACTATCTGCAGAAGTACAACTACCAAATAAAGGACAAGGGTAAGCTGAGATGGTACAATTAATTGTGCTTTTGCTAAGAAATTCAACCAGCCAGAGCAGAAATGGGCAGAATTGGGTAAAATTCTGTTAATATCGGTGTTCCTTCAGTCGTTCAGAACAGTAGAACTGAAATATTCAATATACTCGATAGACTCTTCTCAAATATTATGTCAGAATGACTGACTGTGTAAACTCTGGATCCTCTCCCCCCTTTGTTTTGAAAATGAGAACAACATTTGTCCTTCATTCATTTTCCATGATTTCTCCAGGATAATATATAAATGTTTGACTGGATCATCAGCGAATTCCTATTGCAATTCATCTGACCCTGGAGATTTCACCTCATTCAAAGTAAATATGTATTTCTTGAATGTGTTTCTATCAGTCTCATGCTTTAGTTCTGTTCCTTCATAATTACCCAGTAGAGCACATACCCTGTTGTTGGAGAAAACTGAGCCAAAGTAGGAATTGAATAACTCTGCCTTTTTTCCCATTAACATTTTGCTGACTCCATTGAGCAGGCAGTATCCAGATACTTTTCACTTTGTTTTGTTTTGAAAACTGAGGAAGCCCTTATTTTTAACATCCTTCGCCAAGCCTTGGATCATTCTGAACATTAACATTTCTGACTATCTTTTCAATTCCAAACTCTCTGTGTTTTTTCCCTTGGAGAACTGTTCTTTCTACTTCCTGGCTGTGTCTTTTTATGTTTTTAGATCTTCATTACGGTACTGGGGTATCCTCACTGATTTGTTTTGGTGTTTTCTGTCCCCCATCAATGGAATTGTTATAACTACATTTTAATGTCTTCTTTTTAAGAACTCCTTTCCTCATTAGCTCCGCATTTCTTTTCTTTTTGCAAGATTAAAT